TAACGACTACGGCATGCACGACTATGAGCACACACACACACACACACCCACCCGGTCCAGTTGATCAACAAATCATAGAGCCATCAAAGCAAAGCTTATTACTCACGTCGAGCAAGCTGAACGACCAGACCAGCCACGCAAAAACTGTGGAGCTAGAATGTACGGCACGCACAATGCATTGTTTTCGATTGGAGAGAAGCGAGTACAAAGCAGGAAGGAATTGTTGGCCAAACTTTCGGCAGATAGGTCTACTCGGGAGCGTAAGTGGGGTAGCAACCCATGGTGGAGCGTACATNNNTTCCTGAAAAAACACGAAAAACAAGTGGCCACGGTCCAGTTGCCGTAGAGATCATTAGGATGGTGAAGAAGTCGGGAGGATGGAAGCAGAAACTGTGGAANATTACTCACGTCGAGCAAGCTGAACGACCAGACCAGCCACGCAAAAACTGTGGAGCTAGAATGTACNCCTGTACCGCGGGACTTCGGAGATGATAAATTGGGTGGTCGGGGGACGTATGGGTGCTTACTAAGCAGAGCGCCCGGCACAAGACTGGGGTACTTGTGTAAGGAGGTGTGAACTTGGATCTAGACTACGAGCCTATGTTGGAGGCGCTATTTAGCGTCGGTGAGCCGGCAAANTGGTCGGGGGACGTCTGGGTGTTAACTAAGCAGAGCGCCCGGCACAAGACTGGGGTACTTGTGTCAGGAGGTGTGAACTTGGATCTAGACTACGAGCCTATGTTGGAGGCGCTATTTAGCGTCGGTGAGCCGGCAAAAGAACTGAAAGGAAACACAACCCCCGCCGGACACTCGGATTGGGAGGGCCGAGTATTCTGTATACCTTCCTGAAAAAACACGAAAGCAAGTGGCCACGGTCCAGTTGCCGTAGAGATCATTAGGATGGTGAAGAAGTCGGGAGGATGGAAGCAGAAATTGTGGAAGGAGACAAGTTGGAGCTGCTGCAGTTTGGGATTCCAAGGGACATGGCGAGGATAAAGTTCAAGAACTGTTGTGACAGGGAGGGACTGCACTGCCTCGCAAGGGAACGAGTAGGCAGAGAGCATGAACACTTCCGGGTGAGCCGCCCTCCCCGGTGTCCCCCCCCCGATGTTGGCCATCGGAGTTGGGTTTTCGTCGCGTGGCAACGACGGTGTAAAACAATCCAATTCACTTCGTGAGCTCGGCAACCAGCTTACAGTTATTTTTGTTACCTCTGGTTTTTCTTGGCGGTAACCATAATGGTGGTCGAGTAGATCATGTTGTGCGGGGTGGAGAACCCTCACTCCGCGTCAGGGGGATGATCGCACCACGTTGTGTAACAATTGTCAAGCACCCTCGAGGCAGTTACACAGTGCTTACAACTGTCTCTGGAAGTGAAAGCACCAGAAAATAAATTAATTCATACGCAGCTGTCATCCGTACGCAAGGAAGTAAGCACAAGATGCCGAACACCCTTAGCAGGATGCAGCGCACCCTTCATGCGACTCGCCGAATATCTCACGGCGCTTCGCGCTTGGTGATGTGAGAGCCTGGTCCGGTGAGAACCCGGCGTGCTCCGTCCCGGCTTTGTAGGGATGCGAGGTCAATGGTCTAACGACTACGGCATGCACGACTATGAGTACACCCCCACCCGGCCAAAGAAAGAAAAAGCTCACCGCAAAGTCGGCAACTCCTTCCGACAGCTCCGGCGTCAGCATGTTCAGCAGCGACGCCACCGCGATGACCGTGTAGGTGCCCCTGGCGTCCACCTCTCCGTCGTCGTGCATCCGAAACCCGCCGGAGGCGTGTTTGAGCGACATAAACAATCGGTATAAGGCAGACCTGCGGGGTTGCGTGGAGGGGGGGTGGGTACTCATGTTTTGCATGCTCAACAGGTTACACCTTTGACCCTGCGTCCTCGAGAGGACGGAGCATTGTTCCCACAGGACTGATACCGCGGGGGAGGAGGGTTTTTTATGACACCGAACTTCACCCGAAACTTCGCTGAACATGGTTGATGTGCATTTGTGTGGGCGGAAAAGGCTACGTACAGGTCTTGTTGGTTAGGGTTTGGGGTGCGACTTTGCTTGCGTGAGTTAAGCAAGGAGTCCGCCAATCACCGCACGAACCTTGTTTGGAACAACGCGGAGATACGCACCCTACTCCAGCCTCTTGTTGATGTTGATTTGACCGTACACCCCATACCAATACAGCGACCCGGCCCCACCCCGCCACCCCGCCATGCTGGCCTCGGGGCTGGGGTCAAGAAAGAGAGGGCAGCTACGAATACCTATACGAGAGGACCCATCCGGGACACCCCCCCCCAAAAAAGCATCACTTACCTCTCAATGCCGGCGTAAGCCTCGGGAGTTCCGAGGATGAGCAGAGACAGGACGGAGGCGTACATCGGGGCGCAGTGAGGCAGCTGCTGGGGGCCGCCGCCGAAGCCTCCGTTGATGGTGTCCTGTTCAACACAAACAAACAAAACAAAAAATCAGATCGCAACACCTGTAACTGCCATCTTTGCGGTCTGTATCTGACACTCGGGGTGTGAATTCATACGACAGATTTGGATTGGCTTTCCGACAGCAGGAGCTGCTGTGAGCCCGGAGGCGGACTCTTAGGCGCCGCCACGACCCCTTCCCCCCCCTTCGGCATTTTCGCTGAAAAACGGATCTGCATCACCAGGATATCTGCCGCCACGATAGGGGGTCGTCTCCGCCTACAGCAGCAGTCAGTTGAAATAGCAAGCGGTGTGATGTCACGATGCCTTGCATAGCGGGCCGGGATTTACGGCCGTCTTTTTGTTAGTTCGGGTGGAAGGCTCGCGTTCGATTTCAGCAACAGAGAGGCGACCGTTTTGCGGACGGTGTAGTAATTTTAGTAGCAGCAGCAGCAACGTGTGCAACGATCAACGCCACACACGGCAGCTCGCAACAAGATTCTGTGAAGGTTTTGTTCACCTGGCAGGACAACACCGTGCGCAGAATCCTTCGAGTCATTTCCTGCTGCGGGAAGTGGTCGAGCAGGTCCAGCGAGTGGAGGATCCAGTAGACCATCCACGGCCGGCTAGCGTCCAAGGATATAAACCTGCCCAAAACAACAACAACAACAACGACGACGACCACGACCACGACCACGACATGCACGGAAACAACTACGTTCGAACATCAACACAGCGAAGCAACCAAGGGCAAGAGCGAGCACAAGAACGAAAACAACGGCGAGAAAGAACAGACAAGAGCACCACCCAACGACAACACCGGTAAGAATAAACACGAACACAGCGCAGCAACAACAACAACAACAACAACAACAACAACGACAGCAACAACAACAACAACAACAACAACCAACCAACCAGCCAAAGAACGCGGGGAGGGATGACGAAGGAACTAAGCACTACATAACAACTACTTGCTGGGTGCTGGTGGCCGCAACAAAATTGTAGAAAGACGGTAATAGGACTGTTTTAACACCAACAACAGCAGAGCTGGCTTCGAGCACCCGAACACCAACGTGCGGACAAAAAAAACAACCAACAACTGCCCGCATCAGGAGGCAAAAAGCTAAACTTCTGTAGGAGAAACCTCTCCAAAAAAAAGGTTCGTCATCTTTGTGACGGCACGGCCATTATTTCATTGCAAAATTATGCCGGGCTCTTGTCGGCGGATAGAGATGAAATTCATTTGTGTGTTTCGAAACAAAAAATAAATGGAAAACATCCATTTCTGCCGAAAACCGCTCCAAAAATCGTGTACGAACGGCGCGCGCGCACACAAAACGTACAACACTTTAAAGGACGTAGTCGAAACCGTGCTACCACCGAGGAGACCACGCTCACCCGGGGCCGAGGCCAGACAATCCCCGCATCAGGTACACCTCGTGCTTGGTCCGCATCAGCACCGCCTGCACGTGGTCGGCAGACGGCGACAACAACAACGTCGATGAAAACAAGTCCCTGGGATGATGCAACGATCGAGTTGGTTACCACCCCGCCGAAAACATCCGCGGCTGCATCTGTTACCGTTGCCGGATTTTCTGGAAGATGGGAGGAAGCCTGCATCGTCCGGTCCTGCCCCGCCAACGGGTGTATCAAAAACCGTACGCCTAGAATGCCGTTCTCCCAAGGGCACATGTTTAGTGCTCTTCTAGTCCAACCTGGATGTAGCACAGTCGGTCGCGGCCATTAGCTGAGGTAAAGCAGCACACAAACGCAGCCCTATGTGGTTTGTCGAGACAGGGCTTCCCCAGAAGTCGCCCCAAAGGTTACAACGCTGCAAGGAAATATCCGCACACATTCGTGTCGCTGTTCCTATTCTGTTCGTCGCGTGTAGGAAACGCGGACGATCGCGAAGGATTTCAACGTGCGTGACGCCGCTCAAATAGCAGCCGCGCCTAACACAAGAGATTGGCTGGGCAATCGACGACGTCGCAAAGTAGCAGCAGCGCCTCGGAGAGAACGGCGACCACGATCGATGCGCCCTCACGACGTGTCCACGAGCAACGAAATTCCTGTTGCTGCCATGTCGAGTGTTTGGCACCTACGACGTCCAAAAGACGGCTGAAACTCCTGCATCATATACAAAGAGCGCGTGATAGGTACTGGGGAATCAAATGCAACAGAGGAACCGTCACTTGCAATGATTTGTTTACATCCCTGAGGACAAAGCTGGAATCCTGGGATCAACACAGCTGTGACGTACGCCACTTCCCTACAACCCTTGCCAACGAAACTAAACTTGGTTGGAATCCACCGTCGCGACAGAGGCCTTCAGCACCACGCGAGACAGTGTATTTTCTTACATCCGTTTATGGAGAATCACGAAACCAACGCCTTTGAGTAAATCGATGACGAGCTCCGAAAATAAAATTTACATATATTCGCCGAAAGACTTACCCATTCTCGAGATATAACCAAAACAGTCGAAGGGGATGTGTTGAAAGTCTTAACAGCAGTAATTGGATTTTTCCAAGAAAACAAAAAACAAGAGAGCCCGTGCAAGCAGCAGAGACTGACCTCCCCTGCCGCGTTGATGATTCCCTGGTCGGTGAACTCCGCGAGCTCTTCGTCTTCCAATGCCCCCGGGCGGAGCGGTAGGAAGTTGAGCTCGCACATTCGCTCGCACTCCGACTAGAGTCCAAATTCAACCGAAAAAAAAAAAGAAACATCGAGTTCGCAGCAGCGGCGAAGGGAGGGTGTTGGGACACGGGCGAGCATGCAAGGCAGCACCACCAACAGGTGGCGACAGACATCAAACACTCCGAACTGATTTTCAGGGGTCGATTCCTCTACAGCAGAGGAGCGTGGCGGGGTGGACATAACGGCGGCGTTGGAATCGTCTCGTCCAGTGCTTTCCGAAAAGGCACGTATCGTTTGGTTTACGCATCCTCCTCTTCGTGGTCAAGAAGTCGAGCTTGGAAAATCGGTCCAGGGGGTGTGATATCGTACGTTATGTGACCTACGGTATTCATCTTCAGGCAGAACCGAAGGCCGCCTCAAACACCCGGCTACATACTCGCGGCACGGCAATCGTTCTTCCCAGGCGTGAACCGCCGTGAGGTGTCCACTTCGTGTGTATTAAGCGAGAACCGTAGGGTCCACACGACACCGCACACCTTTGGGATCGATTGTCAAAGCTCGCCTTACAGCAAAAAAAACGGCGACGGTGCCGAGAACGGCGACGCTGGGAACCGGCTCGTCGAGAGGTGTCCCGAAAACCGTGTCGTTTGGTTGTAGTATTCTCTTCGTCCTGGAGTAATCGAGCTTCGAAAATTGGTCCAGGGGGGGGTGGTGTCTTTGACGAACGTGGATCTGTCCATCTGCACCGCAGACAATCCGGCTTTTTCCCGTGAACCCATCTTGTCAAACCGATTCTGGTTCGTAAAACAGACTCGGTTTTCCTCCTTGCCGGTATTCCTTGCTATGATACTATGATTTTTTAACCTGCGGTGGTATGCATTTTGCAGAAGCCGCATCATTGCACAGCCCTACGGGAGAACCAACGACTTTGCCAGACAGCCTACCGGTGTGACTGCTGCCATCTGGTAGATAGGGGGCAGAAAAAAAGAACGGTATTCCACATCGTTGAGACAATAAGGGCATCAACAGTACCTTGAAAAAAAAAAAAGTTACCTGTTGCCGGGAAGTGGCGGTGTTGATCCCGTCTGTTTCCGTGTAAGGGTACGAGTACGTCTCGTCGGAATCCTCCCCTGCAAACCCCAAAAACACGGCCATTTTTTTTTTTTCGGTTTACCGGAGTCCGAGCCGGCTCTCACGGTGCTGTTGGTTTGCAAGCACGAGCTGCCGTCGCTGGCGCTGCGGAAGCGCTGGTGTTTTGCCCGTCCGTCACTGTAAGCGAGCGCTGCTGGGAATAATTCGGAACAATTGCAACGCACGAAATGAGAACCAGCAGCAGCAGGAACGAAGGCTCCTCGTTGGGCATTCACCAACGCGTGACAACCCATTAGTTGTTGGGGGAACGTTCATTCTTAAGACACACGAACCTGCTGTGTGAACAGCGTCGGGGTTCTGACCGCTAAGTTTTAGGCGGCTTTTGTTTTTGGCCTCCTCCTAGCTTGAGAACCGGACCTTGGATGACAAGGGCTCCGACGTCTCTTGCATGTGTGCACACAATAGTCACGAAGAAGGCACACACACGCACACGGCCGCAAAGATAACACATACAGCAACGAGGAAACATGCGATCTTTCTGCAGACAAAGCAAATGGAACTGCTCACAGGAGTAGGGATATCTAAGGGTTCAGTTCCAATGCACATTTCAAGTGACTCGACGACGGATTAACTTGTTGATGCTCTGGTCAATTTACCAGTTGTCTAAAACAATCGACCACACATATCCGACAAACGATGCATACATTAAACTACCGTATATGACACAAGATAAAACATCCCCTTGACCAATTTTCGAAGCTCGATTTCTCAACTGCAGGAACAGTCACAGCGCCGAAAACGGCGGCGTTGAAACCGTCTCGTCGAGAGCTTTTCGAAAATGTATCGTTTCGTTTATGCATCCTCTTCGTCGTGGAGAAATAGAACTTTGAAAATCGGTCCAGGGGATGTGTTATCTCGTGTCATATACGGTATGCATTATCCTTGACGGGTCCCACCAGCAGCAGCATTCAAACCATTGAAACCACACTTCAGTGGCAGACAGAGACGAAGTTTGAGTCAAATTTCCAACGCAAGCACGACCAGCACGCCCCTACCGGCTGTGCGCGTGCATGGTGATGGTGCAAGAAAGGTCCGTGTTGATCCGGCGTGGTAGCATGGCAGCACTGCTGGATGGTGATGTTTGCCCCATCTCTTCCGAGCTCAGATTTCGAAAACCGCTCCAGACTGCTGTGGCGGCTGTGGAACAAGTTCTTCCCTATTTCTCCTTCTCAGCTTCACTGCTGTCATTCAAACTGATTCCTGCTGTGTCTAATGCACTACGTAGATCACTGACCTGTCTGGCTATATCCTCTCCCAACCGCAGGCGCCAGCGTACACCGGCTTGGTCTCCGGAACGCGCGAACGTGCTGGAGTGAGTAGATTGAAATCTTGCTCTGAACGTCTCGGTGGATGGGTCATCAAGCAAACAAAGTCTGTCCCTCCTGGTCAACCCCTGAGCGCGGAGAAATAGGCGTTTCTCCGCAGCAGATCTTGGGGTGTGGGTTCACATGTGGTGTGTGGGTGCTCGTGGCTCGCAACAACCGGCCAGCCTTGATACAGATTTCAGATGTAGTCATCCAGAGCATAGGACATCATCCGACGACAGGGGGCTCGCCGTTAGGGATGGCGCTGAATCCACGGAGCCCCCTCACGTCAAGGCCAGTCAAGGCCAGCGTCGCATTTCGATTTTTCGCTCCGCACTCTTCTATCACCGCCGCCTGCCAAAACACACGAGCGGCTTCGGGTGACGGACATCCTTCTTGACCTTCAGGTTCGTCGCGTGTGTTTGTTGCTGCCGGTACGCACGGAGTAAGGTTCCCCCCGGGATATTGGTTTATATTCCCGGCTCAGAAAGAAGAGACAGATAGAGGCAACAGCGGACACGATGCCAGAAGAAGACAGACTCTGAAACCACCCCGTCGTCGATTTCTGGTAAAAAGCACCGAAGGGGGTTAGAAAAGGGGCCAAACCCCACTGCGAGACGTGGATAGGCGATGACAAGCAGTAGAAGCGTGCAGGGGCAGTGTTGTGAAAGGTGGTGACCCTGGCTCAGCGGTTAAGCAGTTACATCCACCACGCGGGGCAACTTCGAAGTTCAAAGGCAGAGCATGCATGATTTGCAGTTGTTTAGACCAGTTGTTTGGTTGGTCGATGATGCCGCTCAGAAGATGGCAGTGACACAAAACACAACCCCTTTTCACTTGTTCTTAGTCTTATCACGGAAACATGCGCACAATGCCCCGAGTACACACACTTGTGGCGAACTAAATGTACCTGGTTGATGTTGTTGCGCCCTGTTTCCCTCCCTGCTGTATGCTATACTCCTTGATGTATGTCCTTTGTATTGCCTTCGGCCTCTGTGCTGTGTTCCTTTTTTTCATGTCCTCCCTGCCTACTCTGCTGTGTTGGGTTCCTTGATCTCCCTTTTGCTGTTGCATTTGTTTTTGTACATCGTCTGTCCGCCCATCTGCCGCCTCTTTGCCTGTTTGCTCCGTTACTCCCATGCCCTGATGCGTAGTGCCTGGTGCTGGTACGTTGCCCTTTGATTTTTTCTTTGTAGGCGGGTGTGGGAAGGGTCCGATCGTTTTCCGAAGGCTTCTGTCTCGAACGGTCGGTGCGGTACCTGCTTTTGTCATTTTGTTTTCTCTTCCGAGTGGTTTGTACCCTGTTTTTCTTTTGTTTCCCGGCGGCGTCGTATGTGCCGGGTTAGGAGACCACGGGCTCCCCATTTTTGTGGACTATTCAGCTAATGTGAGAACCAACAACAACAACGTCAACACTGCTTCACGAAAAGAAGAGCAGGAAAATGACGTCGGGATTTTTTTTTTTGTATTTTTTTGTAAACGGTTGTGTGGTTCTGAACTGCCAATCGAACTGCTGTCAATCGTCTACACACCTAAGCCGACCACGCCGCATTTCGGTTTTGCTTCAACCCACCTGTGGTGTAACAGCTCTGCTTCTACGTATTCAGAAAGACTAACCGTTCGAGATATAACTACCTCAGTCGAAAGGGGAGTGCTGAAGTCTTTTCAGTGAGTGGAGGGAAACCAGCTGGAAACTGGGAAACTGGGCTTATTTTCTGCCTTGCAGGTACGCATACAGCAGCAGCGAAGGTCGTTCTGTGATTCGAATGTAGAGGTAAGCTACAGCAGTACTCATTTTTCCTACTTCGTACTTAACAAAAAGAGAAGCCGGAGCAAGCCTGGTTACTGCACAAGCAAGCTCTTTTTCTATTCATATATTTCATCAAGATGACCCGACGAATCCATCTCTACCGAAGGAGTCTTAAGGTAGGCTAGCAATGAAATCCATAGCGATCAGCAAAGATTCTATTTTCCCGCGATTTCCCGAGCAGCACAGTGATACAGATGGCGCCCTCACTTAACAACCTCTAGTTTCGGCCGAGGTTGGGGTTCTTATTTTGCTGATCATCCTCTTGTGGGCTACAAATGGCCGCTATATATGTTTTAGTTTCGGGTTCTTAACCGAGCTCACAAATGGTCCTCAAGTTCTTAGCTTCTGATTTTTTTGCAAGTCTCGATTTCTCAAATGCTAAGACCACTGTTTATGGCAAAAAAATCTTGATCTTCCTCTCTTTCGACAAATGTTGAATTTTTCGACCTTTTGGGCAGTCTGCCCCCCGAACGAGTGCGAATCAGCTGTTCGACCTTTGAGAACAGTCACAGCTTTGGCTGAGATGTCTACAGATCGCCTACATGTTTCGGCAGGGTTCACATTTGATTTTTTTCCAGCAGAGCAAGATGTTGAAGATTCGGCCGAAAGGCCACCTCGGAGCAAATCTTGGGCCAAGATCTGTCCAAAAGCTGGTTTTGGAAAAATCTTGCGTGAAAATTGTGAACCTTGAAAAAATCAAACGTGGACCCTGGCGGAACATGTAGGCGATCTGTAGACATCTCAGCCAAAGCTGTGACTGTTCTCAAAGG